TTGTTGAATCCACTCCAGGTGTAAGCTCACTTGTGGGCAACATAACTCTGCTGTGCATCTCCTACAAGAAGAGGCACCTGCTGAAGCCTGCAGAGTTCTTCATCATCAACCTCGCTATCAGTGACCTGGGCCTCACCCTGTCCCTCTACCCCACGGCGATAACTTCAAGCATATACCACAGGTACTGCGATTAGTTTGGCGTAAATGCAGAACTAAACTCATAAGTTTTTCCACCATTGGAGGAAGATTGTCTGTGAGAGCAAACATCAACATTCAAACTACTCTCATGTTTATTTCCTTTTGTCATTTTCCTCACTTCTTGTGCTGTTTCCTCCTCATTTCCCCCTTTTGCAGGTGGCTATATGGGAAAACATTCTGCTCTATCTATGCATTCTGTGGCATTTTGTTTGGCCTCTGCAGTCTGGACAACACTGACCTTGCTGAGCATGGTGTGCTTTGTGAAAGTATGTTATCCACATTATGGTAAGTATCCCCAAGAAGGTTTTTTTCCCGGTAGCACAATTAACTATGACATTTCTGACAAAAGTGGCTGGTTTATCTATTGACAGAAAAAAAATAATCCATCTGTGGAGCAACACATTAGCTTTTCTTTGATGATTGGACATGTGAAGAGACTGCAGTCAAAACATTTGCTGGTTGATCCAGTTGGGTCTTTAATGTGGCCCACATAAAGGTGTTTCCTACAATTTAGTCCAATACATATCTAACACTCAATTGTAGGCACTTAGGCTTGATCACTTGTAAAATACTGCCTTCATCTCAGGCCGTTTCATAAACAATTAGAGACCTTTGTTTTAAATGCCACTTTGCATAGATGCATCTTTTGAACACACATCATAACTGTATATAAACCTTAATGATATTAATGTTATTAATGTGGCTTAAAGTGACAGTGTGCACTTTAGTCTGGTGATGGGGCAGTCGATACCTAAATCATTGCAAGCAAGCAGTATTTTTGTGGTGGAGTAAGGACCTTACCAACGGAGGCCCCTTAGGGTCAAAAAGCTCTGGGAAGTGCAAGCTTTAGCGAAATAACAAGCACAGATTCCCTTTCATCAGTGGCAACAAGTGAAGAGGTAAATGTGTCAAACAACAACATTGAAGAATGATGAAAGTTTTTTAACCATTAGTTACAAATCAGTAAATGCATTTTGTTCTCATGGGCTCCCGTAGAAGGAAACATGGCATCTAATATGGTGTTGCCCAGATACTTAGACCCACTCCTTCGTATTTAGACCTGATTTTTATGGTTATATGTTACAAAGTTGCCAATATTTTTCAGCAACTGGGCATCATTTAATTCATTTTCGACAACATTTTGATGGATATTTCTAAACATTTGGTAAAAACTACTCATTGTCCTCTTTGAACCTGGCTCACATTATCTAGCTGCCGTTCATATACCTTCATTTTCTGTTATTATAGCATAAAGCCACTTGCAGATGATCAATGTTTCGTGCTCTGATTGTACCTATAATTAGGAAATAATCAATTTTATGTCATTTCCTTGTGGTTCTTAATCACTCAATCAGCAAAGATGGCTGCCAAATAGTAGTAGTACTAGTCTTGTAACTTAAACATGTCAAAATATACAGTTTTGTTAGTGTCTATGTTTGAGCATGCATGATACAAGGGTTCACATGGTAGATATTCTTAACTCTAACCCTAAAACTACAATTTTACAGCAAAAAAATTCAACAAGAATCCAAATAAATACATTCAAGGATGAAAGTAACAGTGGAACTCAGACTTTTTGGGGTACATACAATAGAGCAATGTTTTTGACATTTAGAGAAGAAAAATGTAAAACACTTGAATGCAGCTGACATAAAAGATAATAAGAAAACATTTTTTTCTACTTTTCTGTGCATAGTTGCTGGCATAAAGGGGTATTTTTAATTTGGCTCAAGGTCTTCTCTGCTTGTATGTCCAAATCGGAAAATCATAGGAAGCAGTTTAATAATTGTTTCATTAGGTGAAAACATGATTAAACTTTTTAGTGTAACACATTCTACTCTGTTGGATTAAACAGGCTAACAAGAAGCAGTCAATTACTGATGGGTTCAAACGCCATCAAATCAAACATGATGCTACCCACATGAACCAGAAAACCATCTTTCATTCTCTTGTCTTTTCTTTGAAGTCGAGTTATGTGAAGCGTAATTGGTCAGTGGCCTACATAACAGTAAAAAGCAGCTCCGCTGTTAGAACGAGCTCTCAGTTTGAAAAATCAATAAGGATTTGTAAAGGCTACCCAAGTTACTCATCTTAACTGGAAAATAAGAAATGAATGATTACATCGAAAAACCACTAAAGAGAAAAAACTCCAGTTCCAATGCCATCAGTGCTGCTTTTTTATGTTGATGGGTTGTCTCCTACCACTCCAAGAAAAGCACACATGTCAGATTGATTGGAGCCTCTACATCATCTCTAGGTTTGAGTGAAAGTGTGAGGGGTTGTTTATCTCTGTTTGGCCCTGTGATGGGCTGGCAACCATGCTCAGGGTATCCCAACTCTTGCCTGATGACTGCTGGGTATAGGCACCAGCTTCCTGCAACCCTGGTGTGTTTGAGTGGGCTGTTGCATTAAGTATTTATTCTGTTTCTAGAGGGGAAAAATCTATTAATTGAAAATTCACACAATTGTACTGAAAAATCTAACAAAACACTAATTATTGTAATACAAACTTCTTCTGGTTTGTCAGGAAACAGGTTTAACTCTCTTCATGGCCAGCTGCTCATTGCCTGTGCATGGGTCTACGCCCTGATGTTCGCCTGCTCCCCACTGTTCCATTGGGGAGAGTATGGACTGGAGCCTTATGGTACCGCCTGCTGCATTGACTGGCGCCTGTCCAATCAACATCCCACAGCACGCTCTTATACCGTGGCCCTGTTTGTTTTCTGCTACATCATCCCATGCTGCATTATTATTGCATCCTATACAGGCCTTCTGGTGACTGTGCAAGCATCTAGGAAGACCATGGAGCAGCACGTGTTAAGGCAGAAAAGCATGACCAGCATTCAGACAATTATTGTTAAGGTAAGAAAAATGCCTCAAAAACACTGGAGCATATTAAGTTTGTGTGATCATTGTTTAATGTTTGCGTAGGCTACATGTTATGATCTGGTTCTGGAAGTAAATAAGTCAAACACTGATCCACAAGCTGCCTTCATCTATGTACATAGACAGTTGTGTACAGGTTGAACTAGAAAATTAGAATTTGGTGCAAAATGTCATTTATTTCAGTAATTCTACTTAAAAGGTGAATATGAGATAGACTCATTACATTCAAAGCAAGATATTTCAAGCCTTTCTTTGTTATAATTGTGATGATTATGGCTTACAGCTGATGAAAACCCATAAATAAAGCATCTCAGACAATTAGAATAATGTGAAAAGGTTCAACATTCTAGACTCAAAGTGTCACACTCTAATTAGCTGATTAATCTAAGTTTTAACTTGTTTTTAAACAGCAGGTAATTAACAGGCTTCTGCAGAGCTTGATGAGCTGCTGAACAGGTGATTCAACCATTGAATCAGGAGTGTTGGAACATGGAAAAAACAAAAACATGCTGAATACCAGTCCTCGAGGATCAGTTTCAGAGGAGTGCTTTTTGCCCCTGAGAGCATGGTTCCCCTGAATAGTCAAAACTCGGTCATTTATCTTCTGCCATCAAGACAAACTTGAGGAATTTGGGTGGTGTTTTTGACCAATCAATGTCTCTTGAAGGCCACTCAAAAACATTGGCCCGAAACTGTTTTCATCACTTAAGAAATGTCTCCAAACTGAGAGAGGGTCGGTGTCAAAACATGAACGTGAAACGGTTCTCCATGCCTTTATCTCCCCCGTCTAGATTACTGTAACACACTTTTCACATGTTTTAACAAAAAGTTGATCCAGAACTCTGCAGCGAGGCTCCTAACTGGAGCAAACAGAAGAGCTCACATCACTCCTATTCTAATGTCTCTGCACTGGTTACCCATTAACTTTAGAGTTTATTTTAGGATCCTGACTATAACTTTCAGGACTCTACATTCAAACTCCTCCCTATATTACTGAACTGTCAAAGCCTTATGCTCCAACCCGAGCCCTCAGGTCCACCCACCAGAACCTTCTAGAAGTTCCTAAGACTAGAAAGAAAAGTCGAGGTGATCGCTCCTTCCAGACTGTTGCACCCCGACTTTGGAATGATCTTCCTTTATCCTTATGCAGCATTGACAGTCTGGACACTTTTAAAAATCAGCTAAAGACCCTTTCATCTAAAGCTGCTTTGACATAAATGTTTTGTTTTCCTATTTTTAATTCAAATTAGTAATCTTTCATCTGTTTATGACATTTTATAATTTCATGACTTTATTTTTTCTGATGTTAATCAATTCCTGTTTGAGATCATTATGATTTTATGACTTTTTGTTTTATTTTGTTTTGATGTGAAGCACTTTGTGATTCTATGTCTGCGATAAGTGCTATATAAATAAAATTTTCTTACTTAAATGATCTCTCAGTCTAACTCGAATTACTGAAATTAATGGACTTTTGCACAATATCCTAATTTTTCAAGTTTCACTTGTACACTAGGAATAAAAAAAAATTCTGGTAACACAAATGTTTACCAATTGAGTCTCAGTCACGTTTTTTGCTTTTAAAATGGCAAAAAAAAAAGATAAATTCTAAACAAATGTAAAAGATGCATATGTTGTTAGCAAACCAGCATAAAACACACACACACACACACACACACACACACACACACACACACACACACACACACACACACACACAAGCTCTAATCTCTCCTGCGCAAATGTGATGTGCTTATTTTTTTGCTTGTTGCCATTGTGTGTGTGTGTGTGTGTGTGTGTGTGTGTGTGTGTGTGTGTGTGTGTGTGTGTGTGTGTGTGTGTGTGTGTGTGTTTACTGCTGGTTTGCTAACAACGTGTGCATCTGGTTTTACGCAGAAGCAGGTGTCTGGGATTGCCTTGCACCTTTCCGCAGCAGCTTACTGTGCTTTGTCACAAAGTAGTCCCAAGTCTAAAATGGCGCCTGTGGTTTCTTTATGTTAATACTTATTTTCCCTTGTAGTCGGTATGATTATTTAGGTCACCAAGCAGAATTGGGATCACTACTGAGTGATTTTAAGGGCATCTTGACCATCGACATACATATATGGACAATGGGTTTCCATAGACTCCAATAACAAGTTTTTCTGCTAAAATGGGAGGTGGCCACCACTGCCATTTTGACCGTGTCACAGGTTCCGTCAAGCCCAGACAATTCCATAAAAGGGAAGAAAGGTGGAGCTGAGGGTGGCAACTGACGACACCCGGTCGAACTAGCTACAAGCTAACCTGAAGCTAACCCAAAGCTAATACGGAGGTGGGAGCTAAGCTAATGGAGGTAGCAACCTAGCTACAACCGGAGTTAACTGTGCACAACACCAGAGCTTCTGAGTCAGAGGTACGCCGGGCTGACCGCTGGGTAAAACCGGGTGGAACACAGAGGTCTCTGAGACCTCCACAAGCCGGCAGCCGCACAGCAGACAAGCGCAGAGATGTGCAGAGCTGCCGCTGGGGAGAACCGGGTGGAAAGGTTTCCATCCCAGAGCTCCACAAGCTGTCAGCCCGCGTAGCAGACAGGGGCCGCGATCAGACAGAGGTGTGCCGAGCTGCCGGGAGACCCAGCCATCAGCCCGCGCAGCACACAGAAGCCGCGATCAGACAGGGATGCGCCTAGCTGCGGGGAGGCGAGAACGGGTGGAAAACATCGGTCTCCCGAGAGCTCCACAAGCCGATAGTCGGAACCCAGCTCCACCAACATGTTATATTTCAACCCATATTCTAAAGTGCAGCATTATGTTAAATGCACTGGGTTTTACCCTATTACATTTAAATTTCATGGTTAAACAGTACATGTTAAAATCTAAGCTCAGCTCGGCAGTGACCTAAAATACATAAATATAATTTTACCTACCAAAAAAAATGAAGTGGAGACTCCTTGGACGCTCTATTAGTGCAATTAATGCCACAGCAAGTCATTTTGTCCAACAATTGCACTAAAAATATCCAAAAAAGAATACACAAACACAGAGACTCAAAATCCCGGAGCAGTTTCCAAGCCAGACCGAGGCTCTACTGAGGCCTTTCCACGGAGCTAGCTCTGTGGTCACGTGGGTCTGATGCTCATTAATTATACAGAATTTTAGGCTTTTAATACACTTAAACAGAAGAGTGAGAAAAAAATTCACCCCCCTCAGAGTTGTCATGAGTGTAAACTAGATAATTTAAACCAAAAACATTTTTTGGTACCACGCTGTAAACATGTTTATTTCTGCTGTGAAATTGGTAGTTTTAACATGGGAGTCAATGAGGATTTGCTCGCTTCTGACACCAGCCCCCAGCGGATGAGGGTGGAACTGCAATTTTTGGTACTTCTGGGTTGAGACCACTTTCTGAGCTGCATTGTGGGGGTTTGATCTTGACTCGCAATGCTAGTTTGAGCCATTCACTTACTGTGTTTTATGCTAAGCTAAAGGAGCACAACTGGGTCAGGAGAATGACTGGGCTGGTTAAAAATATTTTTTCCCGCATATCAAATGCTGGGAAATATGTCAACAGACAAAATTTCTATTTTGTGTGGAATATCCCTTTAAGATGTACCTTTCATATATTTTTAACCATTTACTTTTAGTGAAAGCAGCAGAGAATGTTTCTAAGATCATTTTTTCTCTTGGGTGTGTTCTTTTCTTCTTCAAGCTAAGTGTGGCTGTCTGCATTGGTTTCTTTGTGGCATGGAGTCCATATGCTGTAGTTTCCATGTGGGCCACCTTTGGACACATTGAAAGCGTCCCTCCTCTTGCATTTGCAGTAGCCGCCATGTTTGCCAAGTCCTCCACCATCTACAATCCAATCATCTACCTGACGCTGAGACCTAATTTTCACAGGCTTATGTGCACAGACCTGCGTACATGTTTTGAAACATGTCTAAAGGGCTGCCTCTGCCTCAAGGGTGGAACTAAATCAAAGCCAAGAATCAAAGTCAGACTTTGTACGATCCAACGGGAGACCAACCAGTTCCCTTCATCCATTTCTGCAGCTCAACCACCTATAGTGACTCTAAAGGATCCCAGCTTTCAAAGGTGCAAGGACAGCTTTGAGCATTTCCAGTTGTACCCTCAAGTGGGTGGTATCACTAATCCTGCCAACACAAACTCATCAAAACTCCAAGACACCCCAGTTCCCCAAACACATAATCAAACGTCTGACAACACGAGCCCTGAGAATGCCCTGGCCACAATAAGGACTTCGGAAACATATAACTTTAATATACATTTAGAAATGGTTCAGAGGCACACAAAACAGGCCTGGCCCTGACGATGAGGTATCATAAAAAAATTCTGGAAATTTTATTCCGAAATTTCTAACATTATTCATGTTTTGGCAGAAAACCATCGAAATTAAATAGACCCGTTTTCTGCTATGTTTTTCTTTGTGTGTGCAAGCTCTGCTTTACTAATAGAATAGAAAAAGAAGACAGAAATAAAAAATATTATGTTTTTATGTTGCCTTCACTCATTTAGTCTGTATGTTTGTGTAAATTCTCACTTATCCAAGACATGGTAAATGATTTAAATAAGAATAAAAGCAACTGAACATGTTTACTTCTCACTGAACATATTGACATATCATAAAAGGTGTTTTCCCTAATTAAACCAAGAAGATCAGAGTACTGACCAAATACATTGCATTAAAACGCAACACAGTTTGAAATCTTGTCACTTTTTTGTTTGAATTGAAAATACTCTTTGGATGAGGAGGGAAACATCTTCAAAAACACAAGCAGATGTCTAGTTATCTTTAAAAAAGAAGCAAATGTAGTTATTGAAATTTTGTTTTTGATGGCTGTTTTAAACATAAAAAAATAAATTAAAGTTTCACAGCAACATGATTTAGGACAGTAAAATCCAGAGATGTTTTCCAATTGCATGAAATTTGTCATTTTACCCCACAGACTGTTATCTAAAACTCAGTCACTACCATTAAGTGTATTAAAGCAAACATCCATATGTTTAAATTAGGGATGCACAATATATTAGCATCAATATCGGTATCGGCAGATGTAACATATCAGTGTCGGTCCGATAAATAAAACAGGGCCGATATTAACAACTGATATTTATTTTCGTTTTGCTTCCATTTGTTTGCCTGTTTCAGAGGGTGATGTGTATTTGCTTAGTCATGTGACAGTGATTGTAATCATCTCAGAAGTGTAAATGTGTGCGGTGTGTGTACATAATAACGTAAATTCAGCTTTATAATTTCCATTCTATACAAAATCTGCTGATTTTAGAAGCGTTAATGGCAGTATATCGGTATCGGCAAATGTTGTTTATCGGCTATAACAGTGATATTAACATCTGATGTCGGTATCGTTCCAAAAAATGTCATATCAGCGCATCCCTATATTTCTATTAGAATTAAGGTGCTGCAATAGAGTTTACACATTGCTTCTAAATTATAGGAGTTTTTTATCTGTAGTGATGTAATCCGAGTTAAACATGGGACAGCTAGTGGATTTTCTGATGAGGGGATGTGACATAGGCTCTTTACTCACAAAAACTGTGCACAAGAGAATTACTTGATCTAATTTACTTTTCAATATTCATTCCACTGTCAACTCAAACAACAGATTTTAAAGCCAATACAAATTACATCATTTGCTCTTTAGTTTTGTGAGCTTCATATCAGGCATTAAAACACAAATACAATTGAGTTGAGTCATAGCAGAAATAAAATGTATGACAAGTTTTTTCAATATGTGTACTACCATCGTTGAGCATTCATTCAAGCTAGCAGTAACAGATCTTTCAAGTTTTTACTTCCACAGATATACATTTTTTAAAAGAATAAACAATTCTAAGGGACCAGTGGAATTAGCTGTAATAATAAACATAATATGACACTGGCCTTCAAAAACAAAATCTGTGCAAAATTACCTAATATGAAATAAATAAACAAACGCTATCAGCTATCCATCCATTTTTGTCCACTTATTCAGGGTCGGGTCGTGGGGGCAGCAGCCTAAGCAGAGAGGTCCAGACTTCCCTCTCCCCAGCCACTTGGGTCAGCTCCTCCGGGGGAATCCCAAGGCGTTCCCTGGCCAGCTGAGAAACATAGTCCCTCCAGCGTGTCCTGGGTGTATCTTTAGGTCATGCCCGGTAACCCTCACCAGAGAGGCATCCTAAACAGATGGTTGAGCCACCTCAACTGGCTCCTCTCAATGTGGAGAAGCAGCAGATCTACATTGAGCCCCTCCTAGATGACCAAGATTGTCACCTTTGTGGAAGCCACCCTACAGATGAAACTCATTTCGGGTGCTTGTATCCCCAGTCTTGTTCTTTCGGTCACTACCCAAAGCTTTTGACCATAAGTAAGCATTGGAGCGACCAGTAAATCGAGAGCTACGCTTTCTAGCTCAGCTATTTTCACCACGGCAGACCAGTACAACTCCATCACTGCAGAAGCAGCACCAATCTGCCTATCAATCACGTGCTCCATCTTTCCCTCACTCGTGAACAAGACCCCGAGATACCTAAACTCCTCTACCTCGTCCCGAGAAGGACCTTTTCCCTGACCTGGAGAAGGTGTCTACCCTTTTCCAATCCAAGACCATAGTCTCGGATTTAGAGGAGCTGATTCTCATCCCAGCTGTGTCATACTCTGCTGCGAACTGGTCCAGCAAAAGCTGGAGATCACGTTCTGATGAAGCCACAGAGGGGTTTTTGACCACCTCAGTGACATCGGCTCAAGATATTGGAGAGCACAACCCAAAGTCTTCAGACTTCGAGGTGCTCCACCCACTCATCCACAACGTCCTGAGTTGAGGTCAGCAGTGCACCACCCCCACTGTAAACTGTGTTGATAGTGCCGTTTTCCCCTAGCCTGGCAAGCCAGACTAAATACATGTATTATTGTTTGCAAAGCAAGAATTTGGTCTAGTTCACTAGGCTCGTTTTCCCCTCCTGAGACACCGGATAGTGGACCAGAATCTCCTCAAAACCGTGCGAAGTCTTGCTCCTCGGTCTCACCAAACTCCTCCCGCTCCCAGTGAGACCTACCATCTTCTGAACCAAAATGTGTTTTCTAACATTTCTAACTTACTTTTTATTCTAAACATATTCTGTCTAAGCACATTTTAAAACATTTCTCTATTTTAGATAGAGCCAGTTTGCATCATATTAAACTCAAGCTTTGTGCAAAAATGGATACGAAGAACAAACACAAACAACTTTAAAAATATGTAAACAATTTATTGTAAATGTCACAATCCCAGTGGTATGTAAAATCATAGAGGGAGAACTTGCTTGGAATTCCATAAGCAAATATACTACAGAACAATACGAGCAAGTACCCTAAACCAAGTGTGAATTAAAAAACTTCAGAGGACAGAAGCATAGCATAAAACAGCTTTAAAGCACTTAGGGATAAAACAGTGATTCAAAATGCTTAATATGGTACAGTAACAGCAACTTATCAAATAAACATGCAATTTTTACAGTCCTAAACTGAACATTTAAACCAGGGCAGGTAAAAAAAGTACATAAACAATTTAATTTACAGATAACATTCATGAATATATAAAATGTGCAACAAGCCTGAAATACAAGATGGACCAAAAAGCATTCTCCACAGGGTTCACAAATATATTAAAATTCCTGATATAAAATACATTTTTTATGTTTTTGCCCCATTTTTCTGCAGTTATCTTAATGGGTCCACTCGTAGGTTTATATTTGTGAACTAATCTTCATAAAACATGGAGCGACTTTTCCATTATGACTCTTTTCAGGAAGAAAATTGAAGGGACAAACACCTTGATTATATAAAAACTTTAGTAAGAAAATAATTATTCGACCTAAAACATATCATGATCCTTAACAGTGACTATTATAAGTGCAAAATTTGAAATTTCATGACAAATCGATGGTGTCTGATCGCTCATCAGTGTAGGCTGTAGGAAAAACTGTCAATAAATCAAATAAAAATGCAGTTTCAGCTTGTTGAAAATCACAATAAGAAATAAATCAGTTATTTTTACTGTTACAGGGAGGCCCTTATTATCGACAGTACCCAAGAAATTAGATCTGATTAATAAAAAAAAATACATGTTTTTTTTAAGTCAGTTGAACTGAGCTTCAGATGTTTGAAGTGAATTCTGAAAATGTGCCCATTACTGAGCTTCAAAGGAAGAAGAGCAACTGCACAATTCCAGCATTTTCAAGATGACATCTACCTCGATGATCCCGTCTAGAGCGCGACAAAGCTTCCCAACCGTACAGCCAATAGATCCCGTCTTCATTTTCCATGATTCCAGCATCTGGTGGACATACTCTGCAAGGCCATCACGGTGGTAGTCATGATCTATGGTGTCTATTTCTACATTAGACAGTCCCAGACGTCGTGCACAGATTTTCCATTTGCTCCCAATGTTGGCCCTCACCAGTTCCAAGTGTGCCTCATTTACAGCGTGATTTTCTGAAAAACATAAGATATTTGTTGAAGAGGATCTGTGTTTTGAAGCCCAGATCCCTCTTGCCTACAACTTTCTCAAGTATATGAAACCCAACTGAAGCCTGATTTAAACTCCTCGTTAGCTCGTGTGGAGTTGTGTACATGCATTGATCGATATGTTTTCTCATCAGACTTCTCTGTCACCTGAGGAATGTTGCAAAGCAATATCCCGCCAGGACAACAGCAAGTGTAGCGATTTTTGGCGGTATCATGCCACAATATATTGTTTTAATGTATTTCAGAGACTTTTTAACGGGAACTAATTTGTCCCTATTTCTCATCCACGTCTTCATGCAATTGGCACCTCTAAACCCAAGTTTCTCATCATTTCCGTCCACGGATAAAACGTTTGCTGCATAACTTAGCACTCATTCAGTCACAGGGCAATAAAATTTCATATGAACTACTTTCATTTGAAAACACATATTTTCAGAAAAGGCACTTGAGCTATGTTGTTCCGCAGCAATGCGTTGTGGGTAATACACTTCACCCAAGTCCACATGTATGCAGACTTGGGTGAAGTGCTAATCAAGGGCGCAAAATCTACTTCCGCACTCTGACAGCCTATGCAGTCGTACCCCTGGCTGGGATCGCAATTGAAGGGTGTAAGTGTGAACCTGCGAGTACTGGGATAGGGCCACCCTCTGCGAGCCCGTTGGGACACCCCTTGCGCCAACGCATAATGGCATCTCCGTACTGACGCAGGCAGAGGAGTATAAATCAGGCTTAAGGTTAAATAATAGTGAAAACATGGTTCTGATAATGAAACAGTACATCTAAGTTTTACAATTTTCACTTGGTTCTCTTAATCACATTGTTGGATTACAAGTAAATCAAACCTACCACGATGGCTGCTATGAGTGATTCTTATTGAAGCTACTTTTATTTGAAAGAATTCCTCTTTTAAAGAGTAAACAGATGTCCCCTCGAACAGAAAATCTATTGTGGAGTCTTTATATCTGTCATTGGAAAAACAAAAATCCCAATTCCAACTGAGTGTTTCACAGTATTTTAGAACTGGTTTTATGCAAAAAACCATTGCCTGCAAACAGTCAACGTCGCATGGACGTCCAAACTAGATTCTTGCACAGTGGAGTCTAATAAAATAATTATCATTGTTGTTAAAATAGCTTTAATTTCTATTTTAATGCATTATGTTGTTATATAGTAGGTGGTTTATTTGTTTTAATTACCATGTAATTATTATTTATGTTGTCTAAAATAAATGTTTGACTTTCCTAATGTAAACCTCTCATTTGCTCATTTTTTCAACAATTGTGGTGTGGTCTCCAGTATGAATGAATGCCTCATGAGTCATTTTCTGTAGGAAAAAAAGCTTTTGTGCTCCTGTTTCAGGGGTAGAAGTTTGTTGGAGGTGTGGTGGGTAGAAAAAGACAGGGTTACGAGTCGTACTTATTTATATTCATCATATGCAAACATATTTCCTCTGATTGGCTAACAGCAATGTGACTCTTCTGCTGCCTTCATTCGCCCATTTCTTGGATAAAAACCACATCACTGATGTTTTATCTTTACTAATAACACCACCTGCATGGTGGCACAGTTAGCACTGTTGCCTCGCAGCAAGAAGGTTGCAGGTTTTAAACTTGGCTGTAAACATAAATAAGTAAACATAAACATAATAACACAAGCCTGAATGTGTTCTGCCATGTTGACAAGATGCTAATGGTTAGCTCCTACTAGTCAAGACGTGCTCTGCTCTCCCCTCATTGTGAAATCAATACAGCCTTCTGTGGTAACAAGCAAAGGTGGGCGGGGCCATGAATGCTAATTTTCCCTCTGACATAGAAGAGACTGGCTTTTTCTGACCCGACCTTTTCACCATTCATTTCCTTTCTGCAGCTAATGCAGGCGATGGGGTAGAAGGCTTCTCGTTCAGCATGCATGGGATGTTTACTTTGATAAATGCCTTGAGAACACGTTAGCCGTGATTTGGCGCTATATAAACAAACTGATTTGAAACTGAATTTAATTGAATGTGAAACTCAGAGTGACCAGTCATATTTCAAAAATTATTATACGGTTTCTCAGTGAACAAGACCTTTAAGACAAATTGTGAAAACCACGAAGGCTGCTAAGATGTACAATGAGGTGGCAGTGACTGGCAGAAAATGCAAGAGTATCTCTTTTGAAAAAATACTCAATATGCCCATTTTGGTCATATAAAATATGAATTAGACAAAATATTTACTTTTGCTCAGATGAAACAAGAAATGACAGTATTCAACACTGGCCTTTGGGGAATAGAAAAATGTCACTAATAACTGAGATAAGTAAGAAAATAATTCCTTTTTATCACTTAGCTTAGCATATCGAGACTGAATATGCTAATAATTCAGTCTCGATGCTAATCTGTTATTTTTTTAACTTGGGTGGCTGAACCGTACTCAGTGTTACATTAATAAAACATGATAAATGTTTACCGCATTTAAAAATGCTTTCTTGGATCGAGGAGGAACTGGACCCATTATTAAACCGGGAAGACAAACTAGAAGCCCCATGACTCCTGATGCTCATCGTGTTGTTGCTTCCAATCTGGATCCCGCTGGCGTTCTGAATAAAAAGGGAAGCTGGAAAAAACAACAACAAAGACACACAACCAACAAATTTTTCATTCTATTGCATAACAGTCAGAGTAAACAACTGATGAATGCTAAAAACACATTTCCATGTACCTGAGTCCTGTTGTGAGCCATACTTTGTATTGTTCAGATAACACCCCGTGGTTACATCAGGGACACAGGTGTCAGACACCGGATAAGTTAAGCAGGACTTCTGGCGGTCAAACTGGGGGGGTGGATGATGCTGGTTAAACTGTGGCAGAGAGGGTGTGCTAGCAGACATGTGCAGATGGGGTTCATAAGCCGAGGAGGAGTTAATGGAATGGTTGAGTCCAGAATTGAGGCGATCAAAACCCTCCTCCGGGCTGGTGGGCTGCACCATTTCTCCTTTAGTCCATGAATGAACAGAGGACACTTCCTGTGCTGGCCCTCTTGCAATGTTATCTGTGACACTGCCATAGTTAGGCAAGAAAGGGTTTGAGGGATTTTTGAGAAAGTAGTTGGAAGCTTCAGGGTGCATGTTGTAGCTGCCATATTGGTGGTACTGAAGCTCCCGGTCCAGTTTCTCCTCCAGCTCTGGTCGGTTGGTCATTTCTCTTGCGTCCGCTTGAATAAACTCTCTGTATGGGTCGTACTGGATGTTATGCAGGTCCTCGATACTGGCCTCAACTGGTATCATGGATATACTTTTATCTGAGCTCATCAAAGGAGCTGGGTGGTCTAAAAACATCAGAAAATCTTAAATCAGAAATGGTGCTCAAGGGTTTAGGCATCCTGCAAAATTTCAAACATTAAACGTAAAACAGAGCATCAAAGTAAAGAGTCGGACCTACCGTGTTCACATGCCAGACTACATTCGTTGGTCACTGATAATGATTTCATGCTTTCAACCAGTTCTTCTGGGCCATTGTATGTTTCCTGTAACAAAATAACATTGAATCCTTACTTAAAATCAGTATTTAGCTTTTAAAATCACTTGGTGGGTTAGTGAGTTCCTCCCAAAACCACCACAATTATACCGTACTATACTCACCCTTAATGTGCAAACATCTTTCTCTACATATGGTTCAAGCTTTTCCATGTACAAAGGAAGGAAAGAGCGATAAGCCTCTGCAAGAAAGGAGCAAACAGATGAGAGGGGAGGATGAAAAGATCCATATAACATTAATAATATAATAATAATGATAATAATAATAATAATAATCTGAGTTTCAGTCTGAGTGAGACTCAACATGATGTGTTCCTGTTAGACATGGGGGGAAAAAATCTAAGAAAAATGATACCATCTCTTTTTCCTAAGAAATGCAATTCTGAATGCCAAACCTTCAAATGTTGGTCTTTGTTCACGATTGTGATCCCAGCACCTCTTCATGAGCTGAATGATCTCTTCAGGCGTGTCTTCAGGAATGAGATGATCTGCTGGTCGGTCACCGTTGATGACACACTGGCTCATGTGTTCTTCACTCCTGGCGTCTGGAAATGAGACAGATTGTTTTAATGTTTGCACAAAAATAAAATTAAACAAGGTTTATGTTTTCAAGCTCACTTTCATATGGTTCTTGCCCAGTGAGAATGACCCAGACCACGATGGCAAAGCTGTACACGTCAGACTTCTCAGTAGAGCGGGCATGGATGCTCTTCAGGTGCTCTGGCGCCATGTAGCTCAGCGTCCCAGCACCTCTCAGTCCAGCCGATGGCTCGTTACGACTCCTTCTTTGAGACTCCTGTTTCGTGAGCTTGCTCCACATCTTGCAGGTTGCTAGGCCGAGGTCGGCGATCTAAATAACGCAGAGAATAAAGCTTTTATAATGAGTGTAAATAAAATAAAAAGTAATAGGTGTTAGATTATCGTGTACCTTGATGTGAAAATCATTATCCACTAAGATGTTTTCAGGCTTGATGTCCTTGTGGACGATGGACCTCTCTGTGAGGTACACCATCCCGTCCAAAATCTCTAAGATGATCCTTCCCTTGACAGACATCGGCACATTGACCTACAAAAACAATCATTTAGTGTATTAATATTACAGTTTATAAAAGCACATCCTTATCTATTGAAGCCTAACACAGGTTTCACTATTAAACAGTTGAAAAAAAAATGCTTTTTTAAGCCAAGTGGGCATTTTTAGAGTGACTGACCTTCTTCAGCACGACCAGCAGGTTGCCTCTGGGCAGGAGCTCCATAACGAGAGAGCAGTCGCTATCCTCCATGATCACACCCAGCAGCTTTACCACACGCTCATGATTGAGGCTTGCCATGATATTCCCTTCCTCCAGCAGCGACCTTTTACTGTCTCTGATGAGTATGGTGTATATATATATATATATATATATATATATATATATATATATATATATATATATATATATATATATATATATATAATAAAATAGAAACAACAAGAAGAACAAGCATGATCATCTGATATGCTGTGGTAAATGTCCTGTTTGATCTAAATTTATTTTTATTCATCATAGCAAAAATACGTAAAGTTTTATTTTTATTTAATTGTTTGATAACAGTTGATAATGTCACACACATTTCTGAGTTGTAAATTAAGAATTCTAATACTGACATTGTTTTCTTTGTTGGTAAACAAACTGCACAGTTCAGTAAAAGTCACACAATCACACTTTTCTTGAATGATTATAGATGCTTCACAAACTTTGAGTTTGAGACTCTCATACTTGCACACGCAGAGAGAAGCAGAGAAGATTAGTATAAGATCACTGTCAAAAGATTTACTTAAATTCAGTTTAGAATTTGAGATTGTTGCATTTAGAAGCTTTGATGTGTCTCAGATGCTGAAAAGACTTTGCAAAACATGCACCTGTGCAGGTCTGATCTACGAAATAGATGGGAGGCATCCTCTTGTGGAATAAAATATCTGACCCTGACAAAGATTCGTGATAATAAAAGGAAAACAGTGCACTTTATTTTACCATCGGTTGTCTATTTTCACATCAGGGTATTACTTCCTACTCCCTTAATGCTAAATTAAAAAGTCCAGCCACAGCTGTCTGTAACCAGCAATCTGGACACATGATTTAAGTTACAAGGAGGGGAATACCCGGGAATGTTCTCCCTCTGTAACAAACATAATAACTTACTCGCTTCGTAGAGGACCTGTGTACACAGTCTTCAGCGCCACATGGCCGAGGGTGACATGGTAGCACAAATAAACTTCTCCAAATCCTCCGTAGTCCAGCGGCTTCTTTTTGATGAGATCCGACGAGCTCATCTGAAGCGAGGTTTCAGGCGCGGTTGCCATTTCTGATACAAATGACATAAAAACTTCCGACTTTGCTCGTTTACACTCATAACAATGTAGTTAACATTTAGCTACACTACTATATATATGTGTGTGTAAGTAAACGCAGCGTTCAAACTAAAGAACTGACCCGATGAATTAACCACCCGTAACTTTCAAAACACAGCCCCGAGTTGAGTTAGCAAGACATGCCAAGACGCATCATAAAGCAGCTTAATGATAGCTTAAAAACTCATTAACCACGACGTAAAGTAACCTCATTATGCATTCCAATTACAAATATAAAATTAAAAGTGTCAATAAGTTATCCTAAAACTCACTTAAATATTCTTTCTCAGTATTTCCGGTGTTTCCTCGACGTCCTACTAGTAATAAAGCGAAACAAACCGATGAGCGAAACTAATGCTTAAGACTACAAACAGCCTTACAAGTTGATGACAGATTAATACACCAGGCTGGTTAATAGATTCATGTTTGCGAAGCGTTTGAAATAACTAAAAAAGGCATTAAAAACGAAACTCTAATACATGCAGTTGAAAAAAACTATGTTATATAACTTAAATATGTGTCTTCATTTAGTATAAATTAATTCGTCTGAAATTCATATTTACATGTAACGGTGCCTCCACCTAGTGGCCAAATTTGCTAACTGAATTTTACTCAACTGGTCTTCAAGTAGAACCACAGACACATTTTTTTATATTTATTTTGTTTTCAGAAGTTTGATGATGAGGTACAAAATCAAAAGTTATTGTCAACTTTATTGTAAAATCGCCACTTTTATAAAGAACATTTCTTAAGATGATCTATCACATCTTTGAAGAAGAACAAGAAGAAGAAAATATAATTTCTATAACGCCTCTCAAGATAAAAGTCACAAGGCGCTTCACAAAAACAAAAAATGTAAAAGCATGAAAAAGAATTTAGAAAATGGTTACAAATACATTTAAAATGAGCAAAAAATAGACAATTGCGATTTAAAAAATGTTAAGAAAGAGAGAGAGTGAATAGGAAAGTGGGAAATCAGTGGATCCTGAGGAAGGTGGAATAGGTGGGGAGAGCAGAATAAAGAGAGAGTGGTGAAAAAGGTCGTACAAAAGCCAGCTTGAACAGGTGAGTCTTCAGCTGTTTTTTAAAGGAGTCCACTGAGTCCACTGATCTCAGGCTCAGGGGGAGAGAGTTCCAGAGTCTGGGGGCCACAGCAGCAAATGATCTGTCACCTTTGGTCTTTAGCCTGGTGCTGCACAACCAGTAGGCTTTGATTACTGGACTTCAGGGACCTGCTGGGGGTGTAGGGACTAAGAAGATCACCAATGTAAGAAGGTGCTTGTCCATGACCCTATAGACCAGAACCAGGATCTTGAAATGAACCCTGAAGTTGACTGGCAGCCAATGAAGCGAGGTGATGTGGGTGTGTTTGGAGGACTTGGTCAGAAGCCGAGCACAGGCATTCTGAACCACCTGTAGACGGTTCAGGGAGGTTTTGCTCAGGCACGTGAAAAGAGAGTTGCAGTAGTCTAAGCGTGAGGAGATGAAGGTGTGGAGAACAGTCTCAAGTTCAGAGCGGGACAGAATGGGACTCAGCTTAGCAATGTTCCTGAGATGGAAGAAGGAAGAGCGAACAAGAACTTACATGAGAATGCAGGGTGAGAGCTGGGTCAAAGGTCACACCAAGATTCCTGACGGAAGGTTTGGTGTGAGAAGCAAGCTGACCAAGAGAGTCTCTGACTTTGGGAACCAGCTTGTCTGGGGCACAGATAAGGATCTCAGTCTTATCTTCATTCAGCTGTAGAAAGCTCCCAGCCATCCAGGTTTTGATAGAGTCTAAGCAGGTGTGTAACAGCAGCAGCTCATGGAGCTTAAAGGAGATGTACAGTTGGATGTCATCTGCATAAAGATGGTAGGAGATTCCTTTGAAGGAGCTCAGGATGTGCTTAAGACGAAGCAGATAGAGGAGGAAGAGCAGAGGCCCCAGCACAGACCCTTGTGGGACACCATGGGTAAGGGAGGTGGTGGAGGACCGAAACTTGGAGACGGCCACAGAAAAGGAGCGCTCAGAGAGATAAGAGGAGAACCACTCCAGAGCAATTCCTGATAGGCCTACCCAGTCTCTCAGCCTCTCCAGTAGCAGGTGATGGCCAACGGTGTCAAAGGTTGCAGTCAGGTCCAGCAGGACCAGAACAGAACAGTCCTCTGCATCACTGTGAGTCAGAAGGTCATTAGAGACCCTAAGAAGAGCTGTTTCAGTAGAATGAGCTCTATGAAAACCTGACTGTAAGTAATCATAGATGTTATGTTCATCAAGAGCAGCTGTGAGCTGTTTAGCCACAACCTTTTCCAAGATCTTGGAGATGAACGGAAGTTTAGAGATGGGTATGAAGCTGCTATGGAGAGAGGGGTCGAGACTCGTTTTTTTAAGAAGCGGGTGGATTACAGCGTTCTTAAAGTAAGCAGGGGCCTGATCAGTAACCAGAGAAGCATTAATTATAGAGAGCACGTTGGGACCGATGGACTGAAAATCACTTTTAAACAAAGATGAGGGTAAGATGTTGAGGGGGCATGCAGAGGTCTTCATAGACTTAACAAGTTTGGTTAACTCAGGCAAAGAAACAGGAGCAAAGCTATCTAGGATGATGGGCCTGGTTGGAGTCGGGAGAGGCGGCGTTAAGGCTGAAGGAGAGATGCTAGATCTAACCTTCTTGACTTTGTCCACAAAGAAAGAAAGTTCTCACAGTCTGCCACAGAGTGGATGGAGGCTGTAGGAGAGGCAGGAGAGATGATTCTGCTGATGGTGTTAAACAGCACCTTGGGGTTCCATTTGCTCTGGGACACCAGGTTGGAAAAATAGGAAACCCTAGCGTCTCTGACTGCAGAGTTAAAGGATGTCAGAAGATCCTTTAAGTGCAGCAGATGGACGTGGAGATGGGTTTTCTTCCACAATCACTCAATTTTTCTGCATTGGCGCGTTGGGCTGCGAAGGCTGTCATTAAACCAGGGAGTAGGGTTCACTGCAGGAACTGATCTGGTTCTGACAGGACAGATGTTGTACAGAATGGAGAGGCAGTACTCGTTAAACTGAGAAGTTAAGGAATCTGGGTCATTATCAGAAGAACAGGGTTGATCAAAAGCAGCAAATAAATTGCTAGCTGTGCTCTCATTAAGAAAACGAGAACTAACCACACGGCCAGCAGGAGGTGGGGAAGCAGAAACTGACAAGCTAAAGAAAATGCATGGTGATCTGAATTATAAACGTCCTCAGGACAAACACTGTCAGCATTTAGACTCAGGGTAAAAACAAGGTCTAGAGTGTGTCCCTTGATGTGTGTGGGGCCAGAATCAGTTCAGTTCAGTTCAGTTCAGTTCACTTTATTTCAAACATATACATTCACCAACATTTCATAAAATCATTCCACGCAATTGTTTGAAAAGGAGTAGGGAGAAGTGTATACTTATTTAGCCCTACCCCCTCAGGTTTACATCCTCATCATCAAAATGTAAACAACAAAACAGTTACAATGCCTTCAAAAAAAAACACAAAAAAAAGCAATAATAATAAATAAATTAAATTCTCATGTTCAACTAGAACTATATTTAGATTTTCTAATTTGTAGAAGAGATTAAACATCAGTTTGCATGCCGTCCTGGGTTAATTGCATTTTCTTCAGTCTTATACTTATTTAACATTTCTTTTTTGAGTTTTATTTTAAACTGGTTTACATTACTACTATCCTTTATTTCTTCTGTTAACTCATTCCAGAATTTAACGCCCGCTATTGAAATAGACATCCTTTTCAATGTTGTTCTTACTCTTTGTACTTTTAAATTCCACTTCCCTCTAAAATTATACCTCCCTTCTCTTTCTAAGAACCATTTACTTATTTGAATTGAGAGCATCCCTTTCCTTACCTTATATATTATTTGCACAGTTTTAAACTTGACCAGGTCCTGGAATTTTAAAGCTTGCGTCTTAATAAAGAGTGCGTTTGTGTGAGCCCTATACCCCTCCTGATTTATTAGTCTAATAGCCCTTTTCTGCATTATGATTATAGTCTGAATATTACTTTTATATGTGTTTCCCCAAACTTCTACACAATAACTCATGTATGGTAATATGAAAGCACAATATAACATATATAATGTTTTCCTATCCAGAAAAAGTTTCACTTTCCCCAAGACAGCAATGCCCCATGCTAACTTTCCCCTCATAAGTGATGTGTGATTTCCAACAGGCCTTATGATCAATGATCACACCAAGAAATTTTATGGTATTAACCCTTTCTAGATATACATTATCAACACAAATTTCAATGTTAATATCTTTCTTATGGTTTCCGAATAACATAAATTTTGTTTTATTTAAATTTAAGGACAATTTGTTTCTATCAAACCACGTCTTTAATATCTTTAACTCCTGTGTGATCACCTCCTCAACCAGTTGAAATTCCCCACTTGAACAAAGTATATTGGTATCATCTGCAAAAATTACAAACTTTAGGATCTTCGATACTTTACAAATATCATTTATATACATTATAAACAATTTTGGTCCCAATACTGATCCTTGAGGTACTCCACATTCAATATCCATCAATTTAGATTTAAACTCATTTATTTGTACATATTGCTGTCGATTCATCACATAGCTTTTTATCCAATCCAATACCACACCCCTAAACCCATATTTCTCCAGTTTGATTATTAAAATTTTGTGGTCAACAGTATCAAATGCTTTTTTTAGATCTAGAAAAACTCCAAGTGCATACTTCTTGTTATCCATACATTCAGTTATTTCTTCCATTAAATCCATCAATGCCAAAACTGTTGATCTGTTATTTCTAAACCCATACTGGCAATTTGCCAACAGATCATGCTTTTCCACAAAGTTATCAAGTCTTTTTAGAAATAGATTTTCCAGTATTTTAGAAAACTGGCAGAGTACCGACACTGGTCTATAATTTGTAAAACAATGCTTTTCACCTGATTTATAAATGGGAATAATTTTTGCTACTTTCATTTTTTGTGGAAAAACCCCTTCCTGGAAAGACAAATTAAAAATATATTGTAGCGGTTTTACAATACCATCAATTACTCTCTTTACTGTTAACATATCAATATCATGGAAGTCAGTACTTGTTTTGTTCTTAAGTCCACTGACAATATCATATATCTCCTTCTCTTCCACTGCTCTTAAAAACATTGAACTTGCATTCCTTTCAATGTGTCCTCCAGTCTCCTTTTCTATCATATCAACCTTTATTTCTGCGGCTAGTTTTGGCCCTATATGTACAAAAAAAATCATTAAATCCATCTACTACTTCGTTCATTTTACTAATAGTATTTGTCCCTTCCATAAAATACCCAGGGTAGTCATTAGTCCTTGGTGCATTTTTTATTATACTATTCAATACATTCCATATCCC